TTTATGGTTTGATTTCTTTGTATGTATGGATCACTTGGGTTGTTACRGACATCTGGTGAAAATTTCATGTCATTAGCACCTCTAGTAATATATTTACTGAGAAAAATGTTGACGTGTTCAATACTTATTTTACTCGCTGTAAATGGTAAATGGCTTGAACTTATATAGTGCCTCATCAAGTCCACTTGGACCCCAAGGCACTTTATTTACACTTCAGACAATCACACACCCATTCACACACTGATGATGGTAAGCTACATTGTAGCCACAGCTGCCCTGGGGCAGGCTGACAGAAGTGAGGCTGCCAGGCACCGGTGCCACTGGACCCTCTGACCACCATCAGTAGGCAAGGCAGGTGAAGTGTCTTGCCCAAGGACACAACGACTAAAATGTTTGGATGGGGGATCGAACCGGTGACCTTCTGGTTTCAGGACGACTCCCCTAACCATTCCACCACAGCCGCTCAAAAAGGTTGATCTTACATGATATTGCCCCTTTAAACACACTGAGCTAAAGTGGAGAACTGTTCTGTGGTCGGATGGATCCAAATTTGAAACTGTTTTTAGAAACCACATGCATCATGAATTTTGTACTAAAGAGCAGAGGAACCATCTAGACTCTTATCAGCACATCTGCAGGAACAGCTCACACATCTGGAGCGGCTCCACTGTTACAGAAAAGTAGCTACAGGTGTTACAACACCTGCTTCCATCTAGACAACATGTTTTTCAGGGAAGCACTTCCATATTTCAGAAAGACTTTATTTTTTCTTAAAAATAGTACGATTTCTTAGTTTAAACAAGARGTGACACAAAATTTTTTAATAAAGAAATAAAAAAACAGACAAGTCAGCAAAAAGATCACAGGAAAAATCAGGCAGAAGTACAGAAGGAGCAGGAAACAAAGACTTCAGAACCGAGAACTCGTGGGTTTTTGAAGGCATTAGTAGAGGTTATTGCAAAGAGGATGGACTGATTAACAAGCTGAGGGAAGGATGGCGCCTGACTGGAGAAGGGGATCTCTGCAGTAAATGTTGTCCTGTGTGCGGAGATGGCCCAAATTATGATTGGCGGAGGTCTTGATGTGGGCAGAGATGGCCCAAGAGACGTGATTGGTCGGATTGACAGTGGGATTGGAAGAAGCTGGACAGCGGGGAGRAACTTGGTCGAGTCGGCAGGAAGTAACATGATTTTTTTAAAGATTAATTTTAGTCATAACTCAAGAAGGTGCTAGCTGCACGAAATTTGAAGGTCATACATGTAAAGGGATGTGTAACAATGTGGCCCGGTCAAAACATCCCTAACCAGCCTGTAAAAAGATTGCTAAAAATCAATATCTTTTTACAGGTTGGTTCGGGACGTTTTGACCGAGCCACATTAAGACCTCCACCAATCACGATTTGGGCCGTCTCCCCCTGCTTGCCTGACTCAGCAAGAAAACCAGAAAAATCAAAACCATGCTGATCCCAGACATCTGGATGGAACAAGAACTAAACACAATTAAACCAAAACCATCCATCRATCCATCTATTCATACATCCACCATTTATACATCTGTTCAAACATGCATCCACCCACTGTTCCTTCCATCCATCCTGCCAGCTAACCAGTCCTCCACTGTCTTCATCCACTTTTCAATGAAGGGTRACAGGTTCATGTTCAGTAGTCATTGTGTAAGAGGCAGAGTACACCTTGGACAGGTTTCCAGTCCATCACAGAGCCACAAATGTGTTCTATATGCCTTCAAGTCCTTAGACCTTTATTCTTCCAAAACTTAAAAAGAAAGACAAAATAATAATAATAATAATAATTTTCTTCCATTTCAGTGGATTTTCTGGAGTTCTTTTTCTTATTGTTTTTGTGCTGTGTTTGTATGTGTGTGTGTTAGGGTGCATTTTGGGGTCTGATGATTGGTCTGGTGGTAGGACTGACGCGGATGATTGTAGAGTTTGCCTACAGCCCTCCTTCCTGTGGTCAGCCTGATAGTCGTCCAGCRGTTTTGACGGATGTCCACTACTTATACTTTGCTCTCATACTGTTGGCTTTCACTTGTCTCGTAATCATCGCCGTCAGCTTGGCCACAGCTCCAATACCAAAGGAACATGTAAGAAGCACATCATTTAGTCATTTTTCTTTTCTTTTTTTGAGATGTTTGTTGTTTATAAAACATTTCCATCATGGTATGTGTGTCATATGGGTGTTCTCTCACTGTGAGACCAGTTTACAAACAGCACTCATGAAGGAGARTCCAGAATGTTTTGCAACATTTGAGATGGTTTTCAATTTCCTTGTCCGTTACAAAGACATCTTATCGCTTGTGTTTTTAACATTTACCATTACTGATCCAGCTAACACAGTCAAACCCATGCTTTTTTACTTTTATGAATAAATGTGTTTTTTTTAAATAATAAGTTAAGTAAATGTCTTTTTTTATCCTAAAAGACATTCAGTACTTACTAGCAGCTTCCATTCACAGACTGTGGTAAAAACAATTGAAGATACAATAAACAACACAAACTACACAAGTTAAAGAAAGCACACAAGGAGGTAAAAGCTCAATAAAAAATGCTGAAAGTAGTTAATGCARGACACCCTACTCATTTCTTCGTGCGCCACATCTTTTCACAGAGGAGCTATGATGATAATATTATGTATTACCAATCATAAACTTATATCTACTCAGGTGTAAAAAAAAACCTGTATTTTTGTTTTCTTTCTGTACCCAAATGTATGGAGAATAATTTAACTCTGAAAGTTATGAATAGAAAGGATAAATTAAATGTGCTGTGAAAATGCAGTGTGAATGCTGAAGATAAAAGAAGCAAAATATCACAAAAAAGATAGGTTGCAAAGATAAATAAAAGGAGCAAAGATTTAATTAAAAGAAAACTAACAATAGACTGGATAAAGCTAAATGTATTAAAGCGCTAGTTTGAAGTTGAAAGAAACACAAGGCAAGRTAACAGCAAAAGAAGAAGAATAGTGGCTAAAAATCTCAAAGTAGAAAAGGACTAGCTAAAATCCAAAAGTAGCATGAGAAGCAAGTTTGGTGACGCAGATTAAAAACAAGTTTTTGAATGAACTGATGACATCTTAAAGCATTTCTGTGAGGAAAATATTTTAAAATAAAGTTTTTGAATTTGAAAAGTTAAAAGAGATTACCAAAAACAAAAGTCACCCATCAACTGCATGAGATGAATGTTTTAATATTTGAATGGATAAAATAGCTCAAAGTCTGCGGAAAAAGCTAAATTGCAATAATGGAAAAATAAAAAGTAGGATCAGAAATACTAACAATAACCACCTCAAACACAGTATATGATGATTATATGTTTATTAAGTTTTGAAACAATTATAAATAATTTAATGTTACAGTTTGTGTGTATTTTTGTCTGTAGCTGTACAGATTGACCTGGTGGTCCAGACACAGCCTTGAGCCACGTACTGACCTCACAGTCTCAGAGGTGCCTCCGGAACCAGTGGACTCCGGTTCTGACCCGGGGCCTCAACCTACATGGAAAAGAGTGCTGCTGTGTGTTTGTGGTCTGAGTACTCAGACCTCTCAACCTGCAGGTCCAGTGAGTGAAACATGTGAAGTGAACTTCCTGCAGGAGAAGCCTTTGTGGAGAATGTTCTGCAACGCCAATGCCCTGCTACTGCTAGCTGTCAACGTCTTCCTCTGGGGATACTTTGCTTAACGTGAAGATGTCTGGAAAAACATGGAAATGTAGCTTTTAACTTTATATATGGAAATTAATCTTTTTTTGATTCAAGGTTACTCAAACTTTGGGAAAAAAATATGCAGGAAGTCAGTTGTCAGACATTAATAAACTAACGTGTATTTAGTTTTGTTTATTGTWTGACACCAAACATCAAGGAGACAATAAGGAAACATTCCACTGATCAAATTATGACAAGACAAAAAACGTAGAAAAAAAAAAGAAAGGGAAACAATCGACAGACGTTTTTTATTGGATGCAATTCATTAGAAAATGCCTCCTTATTTCTCTCTCTGCCTTCTATGCAGAACGAGGAGASAAGAGAAAAAGGCAAAGCTGCAGCGGCTGCCAATCAAACACGCAGCAGCGTATCCTGCTCGCCGCCGCCACTGTAAATATCTAAACACYTGAAAGAAAATAGGTTTTATTTATGCAGAATGTGATGGGAACTATGTCAAAAATGTGGCAAAATAATAACTGGAAAATAGGTGATGAAAGTGAAAGATGATTCTCAGAGAGAAAATTGCCAAACTTTTTTTCCTGAAGGGAAACACACCGTGAAGCAACTGTCTGTAAGAGATTCACACAAGAAACACAGCAAGATCATCTGACCTGCTTATGGTTCTATTTTTTATCATGATAAAATAAAAAAGAAATAAACTTCAAATATTTTTATCCAAAGCATTTTTTGATAAATTTTAAAATGTATTCAATAACAATATGTACTTTTTTCTTAAAAACCTTTAAAATACATTGTTGTGTAATAACAGCCAAAGCAGAGAGGACTGAATGTCTAACGTGTTCATATT